TTTCCAACAGCCAGATGCCTCGGTTAGTGCTGGCTGCCGGAGACGTTACCCGAGAAGACGGGAGTGGGGGTGGTGGTCTCCTGTCCCCCCCGGCCCCATCACACGCAGCCCCTCACAGAGAAGACGCCTGCCCTCAGGAAGGGGCGTGAGATGAATCGAGGCAGGAAGGAGGAGGATGCAGATCCAAAAGCAAAGGCCAACATGAGCCCCTGTGGTCTGAACGCCAAGGGTTGGGCATTTTTTTTAAAATATGTTTTATTGATTTTTTTTTTTACAGAGAGGAAGGGAGAGAGAGAGAGAGCTAGAAACATCGATGAGAGAGAAACATGGATCAGCTGCCTCCTGCACGCCCCCCTCTGAAGATGTGTCCGCAACCAAGGTACATGCCCTTGACCGGAATCGAACCTGGGACCCCTCAGTCCGCAGGCCGACGCTCTATCCACTGAGCCAAACCGGCTTTGGCTGGGGCATTTTTTTTAAATCTCTCATAAATGAATACATTTGGAAATGAGTCTGTGACACTAGCGTAAGGAATACAGACTTCCTCTTTCATACTTAATTCACTCAAAAGGAGACCAGGACACACAGCTGCAACACCAAAGCAGGAAAAGCGTGTCTCGGTAAGAGGTGTGTGGAGTTCCAGTTACTCGCCTTGGCCTTTCCTGATGAACCCACCGTGCACGCACTGGAGATCTGAAAAGCTGGGTTTCATACATACCACAGCTTTCACACATCCAGGGACCCCTTCCTCTTTCTAGAAAAGATGGATGTTGGAGGAAAAAGAAGATATTCTCAAGATGTTTGTATGCAACTAGTCCAAACAAACGTTATAAAATGTTCTAAACTCTATGATCTAAAGGAATATGCATCTTGGATCCTAAAATAGATTAATGATGGAAACCATGTGATCTTTTTAAAATTCAGTTTTCCTATTTGTTTATTTTTAAATACATTTTTTTCGATTTCAGAGAGGAAGGGAGGAAAGAGAGGTAGAAACACTTATGATGAGTGAGAATCGTTGATCAGCTGCCTCCTGCACGCCCCCCACTGGGGACCAAGCCCACAACCCAGCCAGGTGAGCTTGATCAGAATCTAACCCAGGACTCTCCAGTCGGCAGACCGATGCTCCATCCACTGAGCCAAACCAGCCAGGGCCAGTTTTCCTGTTTATTGAAAAGGAAATTTTTACCCGATGCCAATTAACTTATTATGGCTCATAAGCAAAAGGGTATTGAACATTTGATGTTTTCTCAGGGATTCTGTTAGCTACAACTTATTTTTCTAATAAGTTGATAAATATTGTATATTTAACCCAGTCACTATGCCACCTACTACATGTAAGACACCATTCTAGGCTCTAGGGATGTAGCAATGAACAAAAGGGGCAACATCCCTGCTCTCGTGGAGTTTACATTCTAGTTGGGGCAAGGGTCCACTTAGCAGCATGTAGAAGACAAAGTAGGTTGAGAAGATTTAAGAGGAGTGCACAATACTGTACATAAAGCGGCAGAGACATCTTCAGTGATGCAATTAGCCTTGGGAATGAGCCTCGTTTATATGTGTGTGTGGGGGGGGGGGGGAGTGAAATGGGGTTATAAGCATGTGCAAATGCCCCGAGGTAGGAATGTGCTTCATAGGGAGGAGAGTGGGGCTAATGCGGAATGAGCAAGGAGGAACGTGGTAAGATGCGGGCTAGATTTTTTTCTGTTTACTCCGAGTAATATAAAGAAATATTGGAGGGTTGGTCTGAGTCGCGTGTCAAGCTCTGAGTCACCTGTCAATTTTTTTTAGAAAGTTGGGCGTCAGGAGGCCAGTGAGGGGGCTATTGCAATCATCGGAGAGGTGGGGACAGCTGGTATCCGGGCGGAGTTGAGGGAGGTAGTCACATGTGGGTTCTGGAAACATGTCCAGGGAGACCCTCCTGGATAGGAAGGTGTTGGGAATCACGCGTTCAAGCTGTTGACTAGAGAAATCACGGGCAGTTGGTGTTACTGTTCTGAAGCTCAGAGATGAGGTCTGAATAGAAACATGAGTTTGGCCACTGTTGGCACATAGACAGTACTGACATTGCAGCTGTTGACCTGGCTTGGACCCTGAACGGTTTAGCCAGTTGTCAAAGGAGAGGCAGAGAGGACTGGTCCAGAGTCGTAGCCGTGCTGATGGGCACAGGTGCAGGGTCTTTTCCGATCGTGTCTGTTTTCTCAATGAAATTAAAGCAAGCTCATCCATCATCCGACAGGAAGATGATGGAGTGACTTTGGGGGATAAAGCAGGATGCCGGGTGGCACCACAGGACCCATGGAGGTTAGTGGTATGACTTTCACACTAGACCTGTACGTTAAACAGAGAGGGGGCTTCCCTCTAACCATAGTCAGCAGCCTGGGTGGGAGCAGGGCAAGAGTAGATGGTGGCATTTCCCCTGCGTGGGGGTTTCACCAGGCAGTTACAATGAGGAGAGAACAAATGTGTTAAGGTTTTGTGCAAAAGACTGTCATGATAGACCAGTGGTCTGCAAACTGCGGCTCTCGAGCAACAGTTTGCCGCTCTGTTGACTAATGAGTTTGCCGACCACTGGGATAGGGGCTTAATCACAAGGAACAACAGCAGCTTGAGATTATTGGAATCGAGAACAGTGGTTGGCAAACTCATTAGTCAACAGAGCGGCAAACCGCGGCTCGAGAGCCGCAGTTTGCTGACCTCTGTGATAGACCATGGAGTTTATGTTAGGTAGAGAATCAAGTGAGAGCATAAGGGTGTGGGGAATGGGGTGTGTGTTTGGGGGGAGGGAGAGTGGGGGTCATAACACTAGATTGTGGCCCCTGTGGGGGCAGTTATGAAGTTGAGGGAGTGAGCTTGCAAATTTGGGAGGTGGTGGCTGGAGAGCAGGATGGTTAGATTGAGTCATTCACAGTGAACAGCTATTGCTTAAGGTTAAGGCTGTGACTAGGCATGGGTGGGAGAGGTCAGGTGGAAGACCAGGTCACAGGAGCAGGAAGAGTTCCAGAAACCGAGAGGCCAAGAAATTGGTGGGATCCTTGGGGTGAGGAATGAAATTAGAATCAAGACAGGGATCACGGGGGGAGGATGGAGGGGCAATGAGTGTCTTTAGGGAATGCCGGGGAGTGGCCCCGAGGTCTGTGGAAGGTTGAAGAGGGGCAGCGGGGGGCATGGTCAGACTCTGGAGCTTCAGAGGAGCTGGGGAGAGAGCCTGCACCAGAGGTGAGGAAGCAGCCCGGGGCGGGTGGACCCCAGAGGCTCCGCCCCGAGCACCTGTGCATTTGGGTTCAGAAAGTAGAAGGGTCTTACAGAGGCACCCAGGGCCGAGCGGTGGTTGCCAGGGGCTGGGGAGGAGGGAGGACGGGGAGCTCGTGCTTAGTGAGATTGGATTTTTAGTCTGGGGAGATGAAGAAAGTTCTGGAGGTGAATGATGGGGGTGGTTGCAGAACAGTGTGAATGTGCTTAATTTAATGCCATGGGATTGTACACTTCAGAGGGTAAATTTTACTTTATGTTTTACCACCAATAAAAGGCCCGAGGAAGGACCGAAGCCGGTTTGTCTCAGTGATAGAGCATCGGTCTGCGGACTGAAAGGTTCCGGTCAAGGGCATATACATTGGTTGCGGGCACATCCCACCCGGTATGGGGTGTGCAAGAGGCAGCTGGTCTATGTTTCTTTCTCATCGACGTTTCTAGCTCTCTCCCTTCCTCTCTGTAAAAAATCAATAAAATATATTTTAAAACATAAAATAAAAGGCCCGAGGAAGGGATTGGAAGGTACGGGGTGGGGTGTCAGACCCTGAGTCTGATGGGCACCGTGGGAAGGGAGCTGGGTGGCAGCAGAGGGTCAGGGCTCTAGGGAACCAGGGAATGTAGGTGGTTCTGTCTTTGGGGGTGAGTAAGTGATCAGGGACGTGGGACAGGGGGGCTGTCCACATGGTCCTCCGGCGGCTCGCAGACTGCGTGGCCAGGCTCAGCGCCGGCCTGGGGGTGGGGAGGGGACACGGAAGGAGGGGGTTCCGTGTTACTCCACATCTCTGTGTCCCTGGAATCTGGCATACAGAAGACGGGAATATAGGTTTGAATGAGTAAAAAATGAGTTCTTTCCAAAGAAAGAAAGCAGCAAGTGAGACTTAATGGCCTCGCTGAAAATGCAAATAAATTTCCCCGCAAAGTGACGGAAGAATGAAAAGAAGCTAGAGTTGGTCTCTGGAGAAGAAACAGGATGTTTGGCAATCGTGCGAAAGGACTTAATGTGAAACTGAAAGTTAGGCTGGAGAAACAGAATCAAGAGGTTACACACGTGTCAAGGGCACTTACATTGAAATATTTCCTATCTACCTGTGATTGTATAGTGAATTTGCGATTTGGAAATGGGTTCTCCTAGTGTTAAGCTAAATCAAGAGGATTATTGGTTTTATAAAACGTTAAACCTTGGCATTATAAACTTAAGTTGTAATGGTTGAAACCATAATACCCTTTTAAGTTAATAGATTTGTCTTTCCTAATGTATGATACCAAACTATACAGAGATCACCTCATTTGTGTGGGGTTTTATCTTTTAATGGTTTTATTGATTTTTTTCTTTTTAAGAGCGAGAAGAAGGTAGAGGGAGAGAGAGAGAGAGAGAGAGAGAGAAACATCCATGATGAGAATCATCGACTGGCTGCCTCCTTCTTGGGATCAAGCCTGAAACCTAGGCATGTGCCCTGACCTGGAATTGAACCCCAACCTCTTGGTTCCTTGATGGACACTCAACCACTGAGCCACACCAGCCGGGCCAGCTCATTTGTTTTATTATTATTATTATTTACCACCCAGAAATTGGACAGACCTCTTGAAAAACTCACAAATAATTTTTAGTTTCTGGGTATCTTTTTTTTCTTTTTTTCTTTTAATGTGCGTCGAGGAGCCCAGCACACGCGCTGGCGTCTTGCTTTGTGAAACGTGTCCTGCCACTGCCAGACCACTGTCATGCCCCGTTCTTCTTGTTGTCGTTTTAGTGACAGCTATATTGTGCGCGTCAAGGCTGTGGTTATGACCAGAGATGACTCCAGCGGGGGATGGTTCCCACAGGAAGGAGGCGGGATCAGTCGCGTGGGGGTCTGTAAGGTCATGCACCCCGAAGGCAATGGACGAAGCGGCTTTCTCATCCATGGTGAACGGCAGAAAGACAAACTGGTAATGGTAGACGGGGGGCGCGGGGGTGAAACCGGCTGCGGCTGACATCTTTACCTTAACTCGCAGCCCTCTTCCCGCAGGATGGGGCTTCCCTTCTTCCTCTGACTTCGGCCTCTTAGGAAAGCTTCCAGAGTTATAAATCCAGAGATGGTGCCACATTGCAAAAAAACAAAAAACAAACGTAGCCCTGGCTTTCCAGCCAAGTCCCTTTTGACACGCCCCGTGTACCTCGGATGCTCAGGGGCCGTATGGCCGGCCGTCTTGTTGGCATCTTTGATTAACGAGGCTGTCTTTCTGTCACCGTGACACGATACTCAACACAGAAGGGGGCTCTTTATTATGAATCGGGTTGTAGTGAGCTGTGAAGTCAGACTTTCTTAAAGTGTAGGGTTTTTGTTTTTTTGTTTTTTTAACGGAGCGTGCCATCAAGGTTTGGTTGGTTGGTGAAAAGGTGGAAAGAAAAGGTGCCACCTGATAGTTGGTTACTTCTAAATAAACGTTGAGCTAAAAGATACTGTAGCTTTAAGTCCATAAAGGTAAGGAATAAAACACATTTGGAGAAAGAAAGGAACAAAAAGGGGTATCACACTTCCATAATAATTCTACGTGCTTAAAAATAGACAACTTTGGAGCGTAACCATGATCTCACAGGGGCAGGCACATGACTCATCCATTCATTTGGATGCAGGAACGTGGATGCCCAATTCTATATTATGAAGGAATCTGTGATATGAAGGGAAATAGAATGTCTAAAGCTATTAAAAAAAATTTTTTTTTTTATTGATTTCAAAGAGGAAGTGAGAGGGAGAAAAAGATAGAAACATCAAGGATGAGAGAGAATCATTGATTGGCTGCCTCCTGCAAGCACCACACTGGGGATCAACCCCACAGCATGGACATGCGCCCTGACCGGGAATCAAACTGTGATCTCCTGGTTCATAGGTCGACGCGCAACCACTGAGCCACACCGGCCGGGCTAAAGCTATTTGTAATTGGTGGTGTGAACCTGGAAGAACACTGCTCCTGTCTGTACTTAATCATGGAGTACATGCTCCAAAGCCATCAGATGATTCAGAATGTGCCAGATGGGTGGTACAGGATCTCCACAGAGAGAACACAGGGACACTGCAGGACATGTCAGTATTACACCTGAAGCCCTTTCCGGTGGTGTCTGTGGAGTTGATAAGGTGCTAAGTGCACAAATACAATATTTTGCGAACACTTACTGTTTTAAAAGTTATGAAATAGATAAGACAGAACAATTTGTAAATATTATATATGGGTTCACAGAAATGCTGTTTTCACACTTGATTCATCTCTAAAAATGAAATAAATGGAAATTGTGTCTATTAAGCAATTCCCTACATGATAGTCAAATAATGAAACAATCTTATTTATAAGATATTCACAATAGAGGCCGTATAACCACACTATGAATATAAAATAACTGCCCTTCCCGCAGCATCGGGCCTGTGCTTGCCCTTCAGGGAGGTGGTATCATCGTGTCCTTGGAGCAGCCTGAGCATCAGACCTGAGGAAATTAAGATTCAGAGAGACTCCTTGTTCTTGGTGACTCATCTCGGAGTCTGGAACCGGCGTTTGCTCGTCTGTCACTCTGACCTCAGAGCTGAGCCAAAGTCACATGAGCACAACCACCTTTATTTAGCTCTGATGTCGTTTTTTTTTCTCCTCACACATATTTTTACTTTTTTATAGCCAGAATCCAGACTCATCAACAGCTTTGTATGCCATTGGTTTTGCCCTAACATTGTAAGAACTTTCCGGGTTGCTGTTATCAGGCTGATTATTTTTGTTTATTTGACAATTCTCCTTCGTGTCAAATATTAAGGTTTTTCCCCTTTGCTCCCTCCCTGAGTATTATCTATCTGCCTTTGTAGACACCTGCCTACATTTTCCACAATTTTACTTTCTTGGAATAATTTAAGGGTCGCATTTTTATGACTTTTGATTATTGTGCGAAGATCTTCGGCCATTATAGAATATCCTTTAACACAACAAGGATCAGATACTTCCCATCTTCGCCAGTTTGACGGATCACCACTGGTATCTGATGAGATCAGATCTTTTTCTGTTTGTTAAACAGGGACAATTAAGTTATGTGTTAATGATATTTGATTTATTGGGACCTTTTCTCCTTCATATATATATGAAGGAGAAATTATATATATATGAAGGAGGGCATATATATATATGCCCTCTTTATAATAAGGATATTAATCTTCATCCACCACATTGCTGCCTTTTTGTTTTAGTTGGTGTTCTTTTTCTACAAAATTTTTGAAAGAAAAGTTTTCCCCCTTTTACCCTTTATTGTTGCTACCTTTGTGTTAACAAATTATCTTACCCGAATGGTTATTTTAGATGTTGTTGTTTTTTTCCCCCTGGTATTTCTGTAGTTTGTCATAGAATATGTCAACCTAAAATGGCCTTTAGCTGGTCTCATCCAACGACTTCATTTTATACATACATGTATGAACTTGTATCTTACCCCTGACATACATGATAAACCTGTGCGGTTTTGTTCAGGGCCCTTATGTAAAGAACCTCAGTTAAGTCCCTGCAGCGTGCTGGAGGGGCCGGTACTGTGATGTCCACGTGGTAGTGAGGGAACGCGATGCTCTAAGACGTGATCCGTTTCCTCTGTCCGGGCACACAGCCTTCGCAGAACCAGTGCTGGGAACCATTTCCCTGTGAAGCCAAAACCTGGTCCCTTCTTACTGACTCCGCCCAGCAGCAGGGCAGTCCTGCTGGCGGGCCAGCTTCCGTTGTGGAAGGATGGTGTGCCTCACCCTCTCCCCAGTCATGCTCCTCCGTCCCCTTCCTGACTCCACTCTTCTGGACTTTTATATCCATCCACTGGTGTTTAAATCACACACCCAATTATGCTGCTCCATCTTTGCATGCCTCACCTTACCTGTGTCACACTCCAGGAGATTCTGGACTTCTATACTCGGTGGTACTTGACTCCGCCCTCTGCCCTGTTCCACAACACACACACACACACACACATCACCACCCTCCCTCAGAGACATGTGACTCTTCTTTTGGCTTCCATACGCAGCACTCCCACCCACTGGAGAGTCAGAGTCCCTGTGGGAACCCTGCAGAGGGGGGGCTGCTGAAGAACCGCCCTCCCCCTACCCCGTCCCCTCCCCCACTCCTAAATGGTGGGATTTCGAGGGAAGAGCGGAGATCATTTTTTGGAATAGAATAGATGGATGGTAGCAGAGTCCCCAGTAGTCCAGCTAGGACAGCAAGTGCTTTTTCTGACAGAAGCCGTGTTGTCAGTTGCACAGTGCAATTCTAACACTGAAAACCCCGGTTTTCGTTGTTGTCGAATTGCATGCGGAGGCCTGTGAGCTCAGCTGCCGCCGTCTCTGTGGGAAGTCTGGGCTCCAGACGTCCGTCCGTTCACAAGGAGTTCCTGGGACCATTTTTTTGTAAGTTGGAGACCATCAAGTTTTCCTGAGCAATTATATGTTACGTTTAACATGTCTGAGTTCAGTCCCATTTGAGATGGATTAGAGGCATTTCCTCCTGAAACAGATCCTGTGAGAACCACCGTATGTAAAGGAACCACGAGGCTTAAAAGGGCGGCCATTCCACCCGCTGCCCGTGCCAGGCCCGGAGCGCTCCTGTCTGGTGGGAGTGCGGCTGGCAGAGCTCTGGAAGGCAGCGTGGCAGGATGCCGATCGGTTTTACACGTACACACCTTTGTACCCGGCCGCTGTACACCTGAGCCCTGTCCTGTAAAATATAATAGGCTCGCCTGCAAAGCTTTGTGGACAACCACAGTACTCGAGCATTTTGGGTCTCAGGCTCTTTTGGCGCTGACCCCAAAAAGTTTTTGTCGCTGTGAGGTAGAGCTACTGATACTTACCATTTTAGAAATTCAAACTGAAATTTTTTTTTTTATTTTTCTTTTTGCCCCCCTCCCTCCCTCCCATACATACCCTCCCTCCCCAGAGTTTTATGTCCATTGGTTGTACTTATATGCATGTATACAAGTCCTTCGGTTGATCTCTTATCTCCCCCAGATCTCCCTCCCCTCCCCACTGTAATTTGACAGTCTGCTTGTTGCTTTACTGTCTCAAACTGCAAAATTTTTCATCTTAAGTAATAGTTTTAGCCTGGGCGGCATTCTTTAAGAGAACTAATTGTATAACTGTTTTCCAGAATAAAAACTAGGAGAAGGGTAGTGTTTTGTTCTTGCAGATAGATCTCTTTACTATCAGGCTTCATGGGAACTAGCGGGATTCTGGTGTCTACTCCTGCTTTCAGTCTCTTGCAATACGTTGTTTTGAAGGAAATCCAGCCTCACACAGGTTAGTAGTTGGGAAAAGGGAGAAGTACTCTAATAACCTTTTCAGATAATTATAAATACACTTTTTTGATACCACACCAAAACGTGGCTTGCAGAGTTTTATGAATGTGGACTCTGAGGCCATATCAATGAATTTTTCACACTCTTACATTAAAATCCACCGGGTTCATCTTTCACATTGATGACATCTTTTACTCCCTCTTGGTTTTGTAACTTCATGCCTTGGTCATTTGGAAAAGAATGATTTAAGCAGATCTTCCCAATGTTGCTACATTTAACCCAACAGTATCCAAAAATCACAGTGTCACCACTCATCTCATTCGGAAAGCCTTGAAGTGTTGGGGAGCTGTCCACAATGCTTTCACTTGAAAGTTCAAATTTTATTAGTGGCAACAAATAACTCCACTTGTTTTCCTGGAAGTGACAGGCGTTCATATTTAAGAAAAGATCTGCCAAAGACACACGTTTGAGTAACCGTAGCTTGTCTGTCAGTGATTCTTTCAAGGAAATCCATGAAAAAAGCAGGCGGTTCAACTCACAACTGAAGCAGTTAATTGCACTTGAGACAGCTGTCATTCTTCCCTGTGCAGCAGAAGAGAAAAGGCTGTTAGACAACCCCTCTCCTTCCCCAAGTGCATTTGTGCAGAGCCAGGCTTTCTACATATACTGCAGCCCCAGTGGCATGTTACAGTAGGCTGGATGCAGAAGCAGAGATGAGAATCCAATTATATGTACTTCCACTTCGTCACACAAAAGATGTCCAAGGGTCAAGCTTTAATAATTTTTAATATTTTTATTTTTAGATAGTTTTATTGATTTCAGAGAGGAAAGGAAAGGGAGAGAGAGTTAGAAGCATCAATGAGAGAGAATCATGAATCAGCTGCCCTCCTGCACGTCCTACAGTGGGATCCAGCCTGCAGCCCAGGCATGTGCCCTAACCAGGAATCGAGCCATGACCTCCTGGTTCATAGGTCAGCGCTCACTGAGCCACCCTGGCCAGTTTAAGTTTTAAGTTAATGCCTAGATTTCATTAGAGGAATTATACCTGTTGGTAAGATGAAAGCATCTGAACTTTTTCGTTTTTGTCATTAAACTTAGATATGTAATGATGTCATTTTTTTTTTAACTTCTGTAAGAAAATGTACTGTTGTAATAATCTTAAACTTGGAAAAACGTCAACCGAAGACTAATTTTTTCACCCTAAAAATATGGAGAAACTGGAAGTCTTTGTTTTTACAAAACATTTATTTTGAGACTTTGAATTGAGACTATTAAATTCTAAAATAGATAACATTTGTTAGTTAAAGCCTTGGTTATTTGGATTTCCCCAATTAGGAATGGGGCTGGGCTGACATTTAACCATCGCACTATTCTTAGGAGGAAATGGCCATAATAAGCATCTTAATCATAAATAGAACTGTGTGAAAGGACTGTTGTCTTCTTTTAATACAATGTAATAAAGTAGTTGACTGCTTGGGACTCCTACTGGATATACCCATTTGACTGTTGTTCTCATCTGTTTATAAGTTGGGAAACATATATTATAGTAGGCAGCACTTAATGTCTTAGTCTGCTTAGATGTAGCCTTGAAACCTACACTCATTTAAGAATATTCTCTAATTTGAATTTATACTTATTTAGGCAGGCCTTTACTCTTTCCCTTCTCTTAATAAGATTTCATTTGGTTAAATGAAGAGCTTCCCCAGAACAAAATCAAAGCTGTTAATAACACTTAGCAAAATTATTTTGGTGTACGTAGGAATAAATATTGTTGATTTTTAGAGATTTTTTTTTTGTGAAAAAAGAAGAGAATTTGCATTCACTTGATTGCAATGATGCTTTTATGCTATATATGTTCACGCTGATAATATTAGTGTTATTTCCATTTTAGAGATAAAAAGACCAAGGGTCTGAGACACTCTATGCAAAGTTATAGCTTAGTTAAAGGCAGTTCTGAAGTTAAATGGCTAGGAACCTGGAGGTTGTTCTAATAATGCAGAAAAAAGGTTCATAGAGACCCAGATCAGGGTAGCAGCAACTTAAATCAATTTATATGAAAGATATTAAGGGAAAAATGAAACGGACTTGGTGATTAATAATACAGGGGGTAGAGAAAGTAGAAGAAGCAAAGATAACTCTAGAGATTTTAAACCAAAGAGAGTGAACAAGGAGGGACTGGCATTGCTAGATGTGGAGGAGTCGGGAGGGGAAACTAGCGGCAGAAATTCCAGAGCAGATTGTTAGTTTTCGACATGTTGGACTTGAAGTCACTGGGAAGCACTTACTAGGACAGAGGAGGGAAAGTTGAGAGCCACTAATACATAGAACCAGCCACCTGGAGCACAGCAAAGCCCCAAGACCTGGACCTCAGCCTAGTGCTCCACCCCCCAATCGGGGAGTGAGGAAGAGGAATGAGATGAAGAGTGGTTAAGGAGTACCACAGTACAGGGGGATCACCCAATGCAAGGGGGCTGTGGGATAGGATGACAGGTCAGCAAAGATGGATGGATGGTCCACAGAGGCAAGCGAAGGCCTTTCCAGTGGAGAGACTCACAGATACCTGAGGGCAGGAGAGGAGGGTTTTCATTGGTGGCCACCAAAGACTGACAGTTCCCACTTAGAGTTTCGTAACCAAACACCAGCATGCCTGTTTCACACGCTAACCAGCCTGTGTGTTTCAATCCTTCAGGTGGTATTGGAATGCTATGTCAGGAAGGACTTGGTCTACACCAAAGCCAACCCCACCTTTCATCACTGGAAGGTCGACAATAGGAAGTTTGGACTTACTTTCCAAAGTCCTGCCGATGCTCGAGCCTTTGACAGGGGAGTGAGGAAAGCAATCGAAGACCTTATAGAAGGTATTGAGTTTGTCACTGCGTTCTTAGTGGGACTGTGTTAATGTTCTGAGTTATTTTCCATGCCTGTTGTCCACCATCATATATCTGTGGCTTATTAGAAGGAGGGTTGGTGGCCAGGTCAGTCAGTAGGAGCCGAAACTTTAGGAACATCCAAGGAAAACAATTACGAAGGGAGAGATCAGAGGGGTTGGGGGGAGAGGAGCGCAGGGAAGAGATGGGTAAGAAGTGGTTCCAATTGGGTTTTAGATTTTAGATTTTGCTCTGAAAAGACAAGTTCTAGACTACCATGTGAAGGAGTTTTTGATGGAGTTCAACTCTCCTTGGCAATTGAAATGGCTTTGGTCTGTTGGTCACGGCTCAGAAATGACGAATAGATTCAAATGAGCCAGGGCTCCAGGCCCACCCCTGCCCTCTTGCAGTCAGAGCCCAGGTGTGCAGCTGCCGCCGAACAGGAAAGGGATCTGTGACTCCTGAAGCCCTAGCTTGGCGTAGGCCTTACCTGTGGTGAGTGAGTGGTAGGCACTGTGTTACATTTGATCCTGGCCTGGAAGGCACTGAGGCCATCCGTTCTCCTGGGCTTTCCTAGAGTCCGCAGATGCCAACACAGGGATTCTCCACTTTAACCCATTCCATCCTCAAAGGAGAGGGTCAGTGGTGCCAAAACCAAGAAGAAAGAAATATCAAGCAAAAGCCAACCTCAGAATTAATTATAAAAACTAAATAAAAATCAATCATAAAAGAATGTGTGTATCATCTGTTTAAGGAATAAAAGCGTTCAGAAGTCCTTTTCTTCATTATGGATTTGTGGGAAGAGAAAAGCAAATCTTCAGCGGAAAACTGCTTAACATCAGTAGTAAGATAATTATAACTGGAACGTGAATCCGTTCACTACAACCACGTGACAGCCAATGAAAACTGGGGTTTACATCATAGGTCTTACCCAAGTAACAAATATTAAATGTTGTCAAACATATCTTTTTAAGTGTATAGAGAGAAAATAGCACCTGTATTACTGATAGCAGTTTTCAGCATGCCCCTATACTTAATTACTGAATTTATAAACAAAATTGAGCACATGTCATTTTTTTTCTGTCTTCTCTACCCAGCTGTTTGTTATCAAACTTGCCTTAAATATTGATTAGTATAATTTAAATAATAGAGAAAAACCCTGAAAGATCAATAGGAATTGTGCAGAGGCTATTTATGGGACTTATTTTTCCTCTAGGGATTCCTTGTTGAAGATTTAAATATTTCTCTTCCCTTTCTTTTTAATATATTTTTATTGGTTTCAGAGAGGAAGGGAGAGGGAAGAGAGCTAGAAACATCAATGATAAGAGAGGATCATTGATAGGCTGCCGTCTGCATGCCCCACAACGGGGATCGAACCATGACCTCCTGGTTCATAGGTTGACAATCACTGGGCCACGCCATTCAGGCTCTCTTCCCTTTCTGAGCTGTTCTTTTACATTTCTGTTTTATATGGTAGCAAAATATTTTCTAAAGACTTAACCAAGAAAAGGAGAAGGTAGAAAATAAATTGCTCTTGGTCTATCACTTATGCAAATTTAAATATTTTTCCTTTTGGCCATTACCTGTCCCTTGTTGATCTACACATTACTGGGTACTACTAATGGGGGAAAGAAGGGAATTCCTACTGGTTTGCATACCAGAATGAAGAGATGAAAAGAGAAATAAACAGAACCCTCATTTCATGGTGGAATAAACCTGGTTTTCTGACCTGAGCCTAAATGTTGGCCTGCAGAAACAGAAAACTCACCAATGCCCTGGTATTGTAAGAGAAAACAGTCTTGTCCTGGTGTCAGCTTAGAAGGTGGCTCCCACAATCTGGGCTTTGGGGAACACTGCCTGAATTTCAGAACCCCTGAAATTCAGCTGTTGAGTCAAGCCTCCTCTTTGGTAGATGAAAAGACCAGAAAGCTAAGTCCAGTTGACAGGGAGATGGGTCTAACCTGGGGGTTTTCCACCTGTGCTTTTCCTGCTGTACCCTGTTGGGACCTGGGAGGAGGGGGAGCTTATCGCTGGCAGAGGCTGGTCTTGACCTTGCACTGCAGAGTAGTGGGCTGGCTCTCCCCACCCCTCCTCCTTATAGCTTCTCTGGGTGCTCGTTCTCCAGTGGCCAGTGCAGAAGTTCAAGGGGTTAATTGGGAACAACAGTCGGCCAAGTTCATTTAGGGGGCATCCTGGCAAGGGTCAATTGAAGAATAAATTAAAAGCATTAATTCCCAGGTAACCTCTGCTAGTGAGCTACATAGGAAAGGAACGAGATGTGGTTTTATTAAAATCTACCTTTTAAACTATTGGACTAGACATAACCTCCTTGAAAACATTTTTTTTATTACAATTTTTTTTTTTTTTTTTGTCATCTTAGGCTCAACCACATCTTCCTCCACCATCCACAATGAAGCTGAGCTTGGTGATGACGACGTTTTTACGGTAAGTTCTCCGTGTCCCTTGCTCTCCAGGTTCGTGGTGAGGATGCAGGAGAGGTTCTGGTCAAGGGCACGAGAGACATTTTGCAATCTGGCACGTGCTGTATCAGGAGGGATGCGTCGTGGGGATCTCTGGCTTGTCACCGTTTTCCCCGGGCTGGGTTTTGCCTTTGTGGTTTGCAGTGCCGTGGTAACATCACACCATGACTGACAGTCAGCTCTCCCGGCCCTGTCCCGGATTCTCGCACAGTCTTCCCTCAGATTTATGATGCACAACCGTCTGGTTTTCCCAGGACGGTCCTAGTCTTAGCATCAAAAGTCCCTGGTCCTACAAAACACCTCAGTCCCAGGCACACCAGGACAGCTGGCCACCCTGCTCAGAGTCGAACACAGCCGCCTCCCTGGCCCCGACGGGAATGCCAGGAGTGGCCTCGCTGGTGAGTAAACATCGGACCAGAAAGGCCTGAAGGCTGAGTTGAGGTTGGAACTAATGCGCAGAGGCAGGAAATGGCTTGGATATTTTGATACAGCTTCAGTTAATGGGAGATAAAATGGTTTCTCCGCTTCTTCATGTAAGTCTTGGGCTTCTAAAAAGAAATAACAGATAGTTCCTTGCGCAGGGAGAAGCTCTAGGGCAGCATTTTCACACTCGTGGCCTTGACGTACAGTAGGAAACACATTGACCTTATAACCTAGGGCACACACATCCAGAGACACCTAACACCAGACTGTGCTTCATGGTTTTTTTTTTCTTCTCTTTTGTTTTGTTTCCTTCTATTTTTGATTATGAAATGTTTCAAGCACATAGGAACACGCACAGAATAATCCAGGGAGCACTGTACGCTCAACAGCTGGATTTGGCAGTTGTGACATTTTGCTCCATTTGCTGTATCTGTGCATGTATGTGTATTTAGAGATGTGCACCACACACACACACACACACACACACACACACACACACACACGTATATTTTCGCTGATCAGTTAAAAATAAGTTACCTGGAATTACTTCAGCATCCACCTCCTAAAAATAAGGTGGTATTCTACACAAGCACACCACCATTTCTGTACCTAAGAAAATTCATAGGAGTCTCCTGTCAGATAACAGTTCCCCAAGAATATCTTTTATAAGCCATTTTTTATTTCATATTTTAAAATGTTGGTTGTACCCCTTTAAACGTGCTTTCCAACAGACTCCTTGCAGCGAGTAGTTGGAAAAAACTGCTTTGGGAATACAGAGTGCGTAAAGCGTGCTGCAGCCCTGGTTCAAGGAGAGGGAGGTTTGAACAGAGATGAGCTTGGCTCTGAAAGGCGTGGGCTGGCCTGGCACAGACGGTAGAGCCCTCTGAACCAGGGACTTGACGGTAGGGGAGGTCAGAGAAGACCACTATGGGAGGCCCGACCGGACCTCGGGGGCATTTGAACAGGGCTCGGGAAGTGGCTTCGAGGCTGGGAACCACAGGGGCGAAGGCGGATGCCGGGATGTGCACGGGGAGCGACCTGACGAGAGCAGGGCGTCCGTAGGGGCGTCAGGAAGTGAACTCCGCTGTCCTTCCCTGCGGCGGCCGGTGTGATGTGGCTCCAAACAGGTTTCCTCTGGTGCTCCGGGCAGATCTCCTCAGCAGTTGGCATGTTGCTTACATCTGTTCCTTTGTCACGTTTGGAGAGACAAACAACAGCAGGAGGGTGAAAAGGTGGCTTCCTGTGCTCCAGAGCAGAGCTGTCACCCGCAGCTGCTTCCCAGCTACCTGCCAGGATGCTTTATAGAATCAGGAGAGGGCGGCAGGAGCCGGGCGAAGGGAGCCAGCATCCTCCCGGTTTGCCTGTTCTTCCGAGGGGTGTCGGCGTGCTGCTCCAGGGTGTCGCCGAGGCCGGGAAGGAAGTGTACAAACAGCCCTGCTGCTCCCAGGCACTGGGACCTCACCGGAGAGGGAGCCCCACTCACTCGCATTCTGTGGGGCCCTGCTGTGTAGGACCCGGGGCCTTCATCTGTTTACAAGGAAGGGACTGTTAACAGTAGTACCTCCCTTCTCGAGACAGCCCCAGCCTTTAGGTCACTGACTATTAGAAACATGTCCTGTGTAATGATGGGAGGGTCGTCAAGCTTACCTCCAGGTTTCCCATTTGTCCGCTCTCTCTCAAAAATCAATTATTTAAAAAAATATATTTTTTTATTGATTTTTTTACAGAGAGGAAGAGAGAGGGATAGAGAGCTAGGTTTCAATGAGAGAGAAACACAGACCAGCTGCCTTCTGCACACCCCCTACTGGAGATGTGCCCGCAACCAATATACATGCCCTTGACCGGAATCAAACCTGGGACTCTTCAGTCCGCAGGCCGACACTCTATCCACTGAGCCAAACCGGTTTCAGCTCAAAATCGGTTTTAAAATCTTTAAAAAACGAAACAAAACAAACAACAACAAAAAAACACCTTTTATTGGTAAGACAAGCAGTTAGAACGCAGAACTCATTTACTGATGAAAGAGTGTAACTTACCCCCGAGGATGGAGTTAGGGGTTTCCTGCAAGAACAGCATGTGTGTAGGAAAACCTGTGGAGGTGTCCCTGGAGGAAACACACGTGTGTCCTCTTGTTTCTACTGGTGGAGCCAGGGGGTCCCTGGATCAGGGGATTGCTTGGGGTTAGGACAGAGGTCGGCAAACTCATTAGTTCACAGAGCCAAATATCAACAGTAGAACGACTGAAAAAAAAATTTTTTTTTTCTTTTGAGAGCCAAATTTTTTAAACTTCTTCGAACACCACTTCTTCAAAATAGACTCGCCCAGGCCGTGGTAATTTGTGGAAGAGCCACACTCAAGGGGCCAAAGAGCCGCATGTGGCTCGTGAGCTGCAGTGTGCTAACCACTGGTTTAGCCTGTGGTAAAATGGGCTTCGTTATACATCATTTTGCTTCAAGTCATAGACCCTATCGATGCGTTGGGTGAGGATTCCTGGATAGTGTGTAAAATGATAGGGTTTTCTACTTTACTCATTTGCTTTATCATCCTTTAAAGGGGGGGTAGTTTTGAGGGAAGCTCAGTGACTGTGTGCCGTGTTTCCACCCGTTTGTGCTCGGTGCACAGCGAGGAGCGGAGCCGGGCTCTGTCGCCCACTGTAAGCTGTCGGCTCCGCGCGCTGCTTCTCACCCTCTCGCCAGCTTTCTCCTCTGTGGCCCAGCCCTCTCCCTGCCCCTCCGCTCCAGGGAGACCTCAGCTACAGCGGCTGACCCTTGGTGGCAAGGGAGTGCCCAGCATCGAACATGGAGGTACCGGGAATTCCAGTGCCTGAGCCGCTCGGTGATGTGTAAGATGAGTCAGGCAAAGCACATACAGCGGCAGCAGAGGTTCGCATTCTGTAAACTGCCGAGAGCGCACTCTCACTTCTGTCCCTCCTGAGCTGGGGGGACCAGAGGGACGGAGAAAGGCCCTCGGGCCTGTTCCCTCTGCGGTGCTTGTGTCTCCGTGGAGGAGGCCCTGTGAGCCTCAGGGGTGGACTGTTCAGCTCTGTGGATAAGCTGGGCTGCTCTGCTCTCTCCCCAACTTAGAACTGACTTCCTCCCAGGTCCCTCCAGGTGAGGGTTTGGGGCCGGCAGGGAAGGGATTCCGGGGCAGAGCGAGGAGAGACAGTGAACTGGCGAGAACAGAGAGGCTCTGGGTTTTGTGGTCACTTAGAGAACCGCTTCCCAAATTCCTGTTGTGTAGGGTTTGGTCCATTCAGACCGGGGGAGGTATGGACTGCGGCGGGATTCTGAAGCCATGTTTAAATGGTATTAATGTCGTTGTAGCCAGACGTGGGTCATTTTAATGGGGTCGCTGGAGAACGCAGCCGACCTAGAATCTGGTCACGTGTGGCCGGGGCGTCAGCTGTCACTGCGCCGAGAGGCTGGATTCCGGTGCTAAAGCTGGGGGATTAGGGAAATAGTCCTTTTATAGGAGGATCCTTGAGGGTGTATAAAAGGGCGAGGTCTTCATAATAAGCGGTCCTTAAATAATACCTAAGTCTGCAAATCAGAAAATAGTATAAACCACATGCGATTGGGGGGGCGGGGGGAAATAATGGAGATAAATACAAGAAGAGCCACAAGAGTGGAAAGTATTCATTTCTCTTGAGAGTGAGACGCTGAAGTGGAGAGAGGAGAGACTGCTACTTGAGATATTAAGTGATATACATAATGTGTATTTTTTATTTTTTTTATTTTTTTGAGCTGATAAAATGTTAGCATTTCAAGAAGCTTGAGAATACAAAAAAATCTGTATTATGATTTCAGGTAGGGTGGTTTATTTTTAATTGCATTTCTAGTCAGTTCTAAATATAGATTATTACACTGTTCTAGGTTTTACTGGTCATTTTCTTAAGAAGCAAAATGTGTTATCATCACAAAATCAGTTGTAATTAGAAGCTTCTTTAAAAAAAAATAGTTATAACGGGGAGACAAGCAATTTGGGGAAAACCATTCAGCTTTTGGGGGCAATGGATGCTTGTTCCTCCTGTATTATTATTTTTTTTTAATGAGAGGGGTTTTATCAGAAGGTGGGTGAGAGGTCATGGGGGAAGGAGGAATTGAGACGAACACCTTAGCTATAGCAACTCATCCTCGTTCCCCCCACTGGCGGCTTAGGGATTGGAGAGATTGATTCATGTGGCTCCAGGTTGCTCTCCTTCCCGCTGTGCTCCCTGCCTCGTGCTGGGCAGCCATACGTCCACTGTGGAAACAGCGGCCCACGAGAGAGAAGACCAGCTGCAGGCGTTAGCCGGACATGTGTTTGCCTTGCTGGGTGGCGAGGACAGCTCTAAAAAGCCGGCTCCGCCAAAACCGGTTTGGCTCAGTGGTAGAGCGTCGGTCTGCGGACTTAAAGGTCTCGGATTCGATTCTGGTCAGGGGACATGTACCTTGGTTGCGGGCACATCCCCCGTGGGGGTGGGGGGGTGCAGGAGGCAGCTGGTCGATGTTTCTCATCGATGTTCCTAACTCTCTATCCCTCTCCTTCCTCTCTGTAAAAAAT